AGAGCTTGTTTAGAGAGCTTGAGCATGACAGGTAAGGAAGGCAAGTTCAAAATAGAGATCATCTCCAGAACTGAGTAGAAGATTAAAAGGAGAAGGATTAGTATTATTTGCAACCGTTTTTCTAAATTCTCATGTTTAAATATCGTGTGTTTATTAATAATTAGAGTTAAAAATATTTCTGTTTGTATGTGGTACTTCTAATAAGTACTTATAATTTCTTATGGCTACTCCACTGAAGAATTTTATTGATTGTTAGGTCCAGGAATACCGAAACTCCCATTTTCATAGCATTTCGATTGATAAGAATTAGCAAAATTAAAATCCAATAACATAATGCAACGTCAAAAAAATGTTTTCAAATTTGCTTCAGTTACAGCAGAAGTGTTAATGGTCATTTATCACAGTCATCTGGTAATGTTCAGGTATGTGTTATTCATCCAGCTTTTTGTGATTTGTTTTTCTCATTTAGAGAGATAATTAGCAGGAAAAAAGTTGATGTTTATTTACCCATTACTTTGTACTTTGCCATATGGTCGTTGAAAAATATCACAAGTAATATACATATATCTTACAATGCAGGATACATCTTTCGAATTTGCTAACTTACCTCTATCTCTCGCAATAAATCTTTAGAAAGGTTGACTTGCATAACAAATGTTTACTGAACTTTTTGTTTCATGCAAAAACTAGTTTGCTTACTTTGCGACAGATATTTTGACTGCTTATTTCATTCTCTGCCATAGTAACTTACACTTCTTGATTTTTGACTTACGTACTTGGTAAATGACCATCGTCGTTCAGATGGTGTTTCTCCTCATGTGGCATGACTTTATTTGATACATCGCATTCATGGGCTTTAATAATATAAACTTACATTGCCATAAAGCCTTTCGATTAAACAACTACATTGTCCTATTGGATTGTTCTGAACTTCCGAAATATATATAATTGCTTTCTGTTTCTTGTACTCGGTTCCACTCTTTATCCTTAATGAAATATTATTTTGATCACATTTTTTCAGGGTTGAACTTCTTGATTAATTGCTTGATACTGTTAAATTAATCAAAAATGTCATTATTGTATAATATATAGCATAATAGTTCACTGATGGGCAATTCATTCCAGCTGGATTCGATGTTGGGAACACTGCAAAAAGATATGTCGAAGCATGGTATCAGCACGATCCCGAAAGGCGATTGTGCTTCATGTGGAAAACCGATTGTTGGACAGGTTCTTTTTTTGTTTTTCTCATTCTTTTTATGAATCTTTAAGATGCAATTTCACTTTTTAGTCTCTTCCTAACATATGCAGTGATTTTTAGATATTATTGTAGATTAGAATTTTTAAATTAAATCAGGTAAGGAATGGAATTAAAATGATAGTATTTGCCAACAAATTTTAAATGGAATTTTACGCGAAAAAAATTTTAAGATAGCAATTGTTGGAAGTAAAAATATGTTGTAAAAAAATGAATCATAGATTATTCAGTGGAATTATCTGGTATTTCTAATATTGTTTTCTAATCGCGACATGTTCATCTATCCGATAAATGTCCACTGTTAAATTCATTTAAAGGACCGGAACTTTCCATGTTTTTTGAATGTACTGCGTTACTTAATAACTAAATTTTCCTTTGGTCTTTCCCGTCATTTTCTACTAAAAACTGTTAGTTTTCACGTGTGAGATTGGGAATTTTTTGTTTATCGTTGCTAAAATATCTGCTATTCGAATGTGAATAATTAATCACAGGTAGTCATAGCGCTGGGTAAAATGTGGCATCCAGAACACTACGTGTGCTGTCAATGTGGTGAAGAGCTGGGACATCGAAATTTCTTCGAGCGAGGTGGTAAAGCATACTGTGAGAATGACTATCACGATATGTTCTCTCCCCGATGTGCATATTGCAATGGGCCAATCAAGGATGTTGGTTTCATATCTTTGTAACTTTGATATCAAGTGATAACCATTTGCAGAGAGACCAATTAATTTTTCTTGTTTTATAGCGATGTGTGACGGCACTTGGTAAAACATTTCACGCAGAACACTTTGTATGTGCAGAATGTGGCCGTCAATTCGAAGAAGAGGGATTCCACGAGAAGGTAAAAATTTGACAATAACAAAAAATTGTCTTAGGATTCTTTAACGTATAGGTTCTTTCAAAATTTCATGCGTAACTTAACGTTTAAAGTTTTCGAGTGAGTACATCCGATTAGAAACTATTTACCAAAAATCATCTTTCTTAAATCATGTTTCGTCATGTTTCATCATGTCACGTCATTCACCACGTTATTGTTTGACTTTGGTTATTTTTGATATTCGATTTTCCTTCTTCATTTGCGAATAATGTATATTGTGTTGTCGAGTTTTACTTCATGTTTCTCTTCTGCATATTTCAGAGATTTAAAAAGGTTTTTGTGTTCAGAACAAAAAGAAATGTATTCTATAACGATTTTTTCGCAGAAAAGAAATGCCAATATGCTTTGCAGAACGGTCAGCCTTACTGCAAGGCGGATTTCTTCCGAATGTTTGCACCGAAATGCAATGGTTGCAAGAATCCGATAAAAATGCACTTCATAACAGCACTGGGCACGCACTGGCATCCTGAGTGCTTTATTTGCCAGGTAATCTTTCTAGAAACAATTCCATCTAAAGTTTAACAATTTTTTGAAGTGTGAAGGCTTTTGAAACATTGCTTCCGTTGTTATTGTTTTGCCTAGCATTTGTGAATAACAAAGCTTTTAATTCAATAAAATTCTTAGCGTGATGTTATTTCTAAACATTTTCTCATTCATTGAGTTCTGGTAGTTCTCTCATTCTTGAAGTAGAGCACGAAAATAATCCATTGGGTAAGTTCCAGTTTTGTTATGGGTCTTGATGCGCCTCCGATGCATTTATCTAAGCCAACAGTAGCAGACTCAGATCTTCTCTGTAGCAGAAGACTACTTAGGAATTGTCCTTTTTTTGAATTTTCTTTTCGTCCCCTAATATTGCTACTGTTGAAATTAGTGATATACTTGTCCAGCCCGCAGTAAAGGAATATTGATGAGTGATTTTAGGAATGTGGAAAGGCTTTCGAAACAGGATCATTTTATGAGCACGGTAATATGCCCCTGTGCGAAATGCACTATCACGAGAAGCGCGGTAGTTTGTGCACCACTTGCCAAAAACCTATTAATGGCCGATGTGTCTCCGCTGTGGGGCAAAAATTTCATCCGGAACATTTCTGCTGTTCCTATTGTCGTAAGCAACTAAACAAGGGAACATTCAAAGAAGTGGATCGAAAGCCATTCTGCCATAAATGTTATCAAACTACCCATCCTTGATTTTTTTCCCATAGGTTTTGGGATATTTTCGATATCTTACCTAGTTTTTTGTATGACTTTATGCAAAAGTACCTTTACAGCTTGTTCGGAGCTTTATGTTCCCTCATGCTTCTACATTGCCTAAGCGACAAATATGAAGTGGCATTCCGTCCTCTATCACAATCACTTCTTTTCTGTTGGTATTATTTTATTCCATGGAATGATCCGAATAATATAGTTTTGCTTCCAGTTATAACGTTTCTTTTCTCCATTGTTGTGAAATTAATGATTTTCTTGTGCTGTTTTCATTTCACTGTCATTTGCTTGCGTGTGCGAAAACCTTCAGTTTTTATTCATTTGGATTATTTTCTGTCTTCTTGTTGAACTATGTATGCAGACTGCTTAAAGATACCCACTCCGACCTCTAATTAATAGCGCTTATTTAAGTCATATATAACTTGAGTCACTTAGATTCATAACTTATTTGATTATGCTATAATATTTGTTTCATGATATTAGCAAATTTTTTTCAATGTTTAAAAGTTATAGATACTTATTGGAAAAAGTCATCGAGAAAAAAAGCTAGAGACGCCTTACTCCAGTTGTGCTTCTCTCAAATTATTTTTTGTTAAATATAAAAGTAATTGGTTTTGATTTGACTTTCAAAAAGAGAGAAGAGACACAAAGGTATTTTTTGGATTCCGAGGAATCTTTATTGCAGTGGTTTTTGCTGTGGCTTAATAATCAGGTTTTATTCCTTTGTTCTTATATTATTTAACTTAACGCCTTTAACATGCCTGTATTGTTATTTAATCACATAAAGATAGGAATGCAGTTTGCACATCGTTTGTCCAAAACTTTTAATTTCAAAATAAATACAGCTGTTTATTGGTGCGAAGCAAGATTATGTATTACATTAAAAGTCAATTTAATGTTGAAATTTTCCTTTTTTTGCCTTCTAGGGTGATGAATATTTTGTAAGACGATGTCCGATGCACGTCATATATTTCGATGAGGAAGAGAAATAATTCAAGGGATTGAAGTCTCGAGCCATGTTACATTATATACATCTTCACGGATATCAAAAGTTATCCAGCAACATAAATGTGTAAACCATTCGTGTGTGACACTGATTAGCGATCCGTTTTGATGCTATTTTCACGTATTCCTTAAGAATGATAAAAGATTTGATATTAGAATTAAAATTATCCGACAATATATGATGCATTCAAGAGTGTGGGAGTGATTTTTAATTGGCTACATTAATGAGACATAAGAAAAGATTTGCTTTTATAATTCGTTTAGTAACTGAGAAATGACAACATATATGTTTCTCTTCTATTATTCAAACCTTTCAATTTCACTATCATAGGATATGCTGACGCTACTAGAGATTGGATACCGGACAATTCTTCTGTTTAATTATACCAGTTAGGTGCCGGTGCTTAGCGTCTTTTTTGGCGACACTTTATGGAAACATTTCACGAGTGTGTCACTTCTTGCGTAAGCAATGTAAAAACACATCAAACAATTGTACTAAGGGGCAATTTACTAAAATATGTCTTACCTGAGAAGGAATTAACTGTATTTCAATTAATATAAACTGAATGCACGAGGAATTTTCAAAGGAACAATCATTTGAAGGAAGAATTTTCTTCCTGAAGTTCATCCAATTTATATTATCATATTCATTTTTCGTTAACTGGAATAGTGCCCTATAAGAATCATTTGATCGATTTTTGTGATGACAAACATAAATGGATGATTGGCAATAAATTTGACATGTCCACCCTGCCATAGAACGGTTAATTCATCGTTTGCTATATCATGAGTGCTGTTTAGCGGATATGAACCTTTCTCATTAATCTGTAATAAAAGGGAATGAATTAGTTATTAACTAAGTAAAAGATTTACATTCGTATATTGATAATAAATTTAATGAAATAAATACTTCAAATTGTGTTTTTTGAATAAGCGTCGAAACATGCATCTTTTGAACTGAAATAGCTGGAAAATCAGCACGACTGGTAAATGCTTCCACTATTCCAAGATTTGCCAACGGTAAATTCAATTCGAAATGATTTTCGATTGAAAATCGAGGTATTTCAACCTTAAATATAGAGAGGCATTTTAAGGAATCATAATAATAATTTCAAAGTATGTCTTGAGTTCATTATCTCTCATAGCTACAGCTAATCACTTGGAATACGTCTATTTATTTTAAAAGTCCTATCTCCTATTGATAATGTGATAGATGTGCGATTGATACGATCAATTGTGTTTATGTTCCTGGTATGAAAAAGATTGTTTTATTATTTAAGTGATCTGTTGTTTACCTTTGATTTGTTTAATTACACAAAATGGTTTTTTGTTTGTTATTCAATTTATTTGTCAATTTCACTATCAGTCCAAATTTGCCAAATTTAGTTAAAAGATTTACCTCAACATCCATTATTTTACATCTTGCAATCAAAAATAGAAGACGACGTCCAGTCAATTCGCGCACAACATTTCTTAATGCAAATTTCTCTCGTGGTAAAAATATATAAAGGAAAAGATCTGAATTCAATTCATAGGGAAGACCGAGAACTTGGACATCAGCGTCTTCGGTGTATTTAAATTTATCAAATGCCCACATAGACATCATTTCCACCTGCAATATTTACATATGAAAGAAGACAAAATCCACAAATCTTAGCCGAAGAGTATAGCATTTTACTTTGACCTATGCTCCTTCTCATTTATTTTTATCTTCACGGATTTTTTTCAAAGTAAGAATGAAAGCTAAGAATTTTTCAAAAAAGTCAGCAGCTTGTCCGTTGCTTTGTCAAACTGTTACTGAAACTTTGCTATCATGCAAATGAATAGAACCTGCCTGAGTGATAGTATGTTCGTTGACGTAGAAATCTTTCGCAGTTGTTCTCCTCTCATCAAATGGATAATGCCAAGCAGCATTCAAATAAAAGCTATCGACAAGCATAAAATGCCAGTCTACATTATAAACATTTCTCGTAAAGATTTTAAATTCTGATTTCGTTTGGTTTGCAATCCATTGATTGATAAACTGAAACGACCTGATAAGTCAGTTGAATGTTATCAACATCTTAAAGATCATCTGCAATAACTAGAATGTAAGCATTGAGCATAGTTCATTCTGAAAGCCTACATTTCACTTTCTCTCTTTTACAACTATTATTTTCACACCAATTACATTCCTGACAATTACAATTTCATCAGCTCCACAACTTATCCATCTTATCATTCATTTTACACAGAAAAATTAATTCATTTTTTACCTATCAAAGATGAAAAACTAACCGTAACAGTGGCTGATCTATTTTTGCAATCAAATTGAAGTATGTCAGCCATGTAATCTCGTGCGATATCTATCATAGCATTGCTTATCGGACCACGATTACGGTCACAAAGATGTAGAACAACGAGGAGACCTGGTGCTATTATGGTACCATTATTTCCTAGCAGTAATCTGTTGGCTAGCAATGAATAGTATTTCTGCACTGCACTATTACTGAAACCTGAAGAATTGTTGTCATAAGGATAAAAATTAGGTAGAAGTAATTAATATGCACAAATAGCACAAATCTCTAAAATTCTAATTGATCTCTTCCAGACAAATTTTTTGTTCTCAATATAACGAAGATATAACGAAAAATGAATGGAAGAAAAAGATACCTTTCGCGAAAACATCATTTATTTGCAATCTTGTAATACCACTTGCCGCAGCACTAGCCAATGATAATGTTATTGCCAGTGATAATGGCGATAGTACTGCATTAACTTCTTCATCTGCTGCATTTGATAAGAGTCGAAGGGAGAAATTTGCATGGATCGATTGTATCGTATCCCTCGCATACCTAATATAATTCTCGTACGATCTATTTTAATTAAAAGCATTTAGGATATTTTCAGCAAGAATGCTTATCATTCCAACTATCATTCTATAAATGGCTTACTTGTCTAAATAGTAATTTAATTCATGTGCTGTTGTCGTAGGCGAAAATAGAATGAGCATCGAAAGAGAAGTGAATAACATAAATGATAGGAATTGATGTGATAATACATTTTGATAGTAATAATTGAACATAACAATGGTTAAGGTTGATGATGATATGATATGATATGTATGATATGATATAAATATAAGGAGAACAGTTGCAAGTTGCAATTGTTGTGCTTGTAAGAAGCGGAAAAATGTCGTGAGGGACAGTGAATAGGAATATATGTCAGTGTGAATCGCTGCCTTTGTGCAACTCTCATATAAGCAAGCTATCTTCCCTTCCTTCAGCTTCAGCTTCAGCTGATGATGATATTCCCATCCAAAAGTTAAAAAAATGGCAGCGTTTAGTCATGTATAGATGGTGTAGTTAGCATTCCTTCAACACTGATCTATTCCTATTCCTCATGTTCTGTCTAACTTTTGAGCAATATTTTAGCAAATCATCCAATCCCACTGGTCAAAGGAATTCAATTGACAGCTAGATTGACTGACCTTCTTCAATGCCTTTTATCATTTCCTTCTCATCAGCTCTGGATTCCTCTTTCTTCCTCTCTCCCTTTCTCTCCCTCTCTCTCTCTTTCTCTCTATCGAATAGCTCTTTCTTCTCGTGCGTCATTCCTCATTGATATCCTCACTTGTTATCACTCCAAATCACTCGCTATATTTCTCTCATAATCAGTTCAAAAATGCTTTACAGTATGACATCTGTGCTATGCTGATATGCTTCTCCTCTAAGCCATCTGATGAATAATCATTTATTCTCGCTAATTCCTCAGTTTCTCTATTCATGAGTTTCAATTTAATCTTGTTGGAATCAATAGATGAAATCATTTTGATTTAAAGATGCTCATTTCAAAGAACTTTAAAGTAGACGAAGAAAGCACTTCAAATTGCTGCCTGAAAGTGATCAGTTTACTTTTTCTTTTTATAGATGTTTTAGACTCAGATTATCAGATGAAAATATTTCTCATTCCACGTAATTGAATCATTATTTTTGGGCATATAGTTGGATAATCTTTGAACTTTTTTAACTTTACTAAAAAAATTATTTTTGCTAATTAACGAGCATTGTAATTCAAAAAAATCTGTCAAATAACACCAAATTATAAGTTTTGATGTTAATGAGATGCTATTTTTATTATATAGCAATTTTAATTTCAACTTAATTTTACTAGTGTGAATTGATGAAAACGTTTGGATATTTAAATTTTTAAATCTACAACATTTAAAATTATTGAAACAGACGAAGGAAACAGTTCAATTCAAATTCCTGCCTGAAAGTAATTAATTTATTTCCTTACAAATTTTAAATCGACATAAACCATTATAGATCTTTTTTTTTATACACGATCAGATTTACAGAGAGCTTGGCTTAACAAACTTAACACTATTGAGGCCGATATTTGGCCAGATACTGCTGATCACAGCTTTGGAAAATTTGACGCTCATGCATACTATTGGTGTCATATCATTTACTATGCAAATTTTTCAATAGTAATAATTTTTTGCAATAAACAAAAATTGGGAAAAATAATAATTGAAATACAGGTGACACGATGTGACATGACATGCCTTTGACATCAAACTCAAATGGTGCCGAAAGTTTTATGGATTCCACAGAGAGCACTCATTCATTCATCGATATTACACGATTTCAACAATTTTCATCACTTTAATGCATGACATCTTATACGATAGAAAATGACAATTTGTATCACTTCTTCACAATGACACTTCTCTTGGAAGTATTTTTATTTCATGACTAAAAATAACTCCCAATAATTAATTCATAATGATAAGATAACATTCCGGAATGAGAAATTTCTGTTATCGTTTTAAAATTTTTTCTAGTATAATTTAGGTCAAGAGTTCATTTGATGGAAGTCAGTAAAAAATGTTTGAAATCATGCGGAGATAAATCTCAATTAAAGGAAAATTTTTGTTTGGAATAATAAAAAGATAAAATAAAAAATGTGTAATTATGAAAAAAACAAAATTGAGAGAATTTTTTTTCAGCTTTAAAAATTAAATAAGAGATAAAAATTAAATTTTCAATGATTTTATGCATAGATTTTTACAACTATAACGATTTTGATATCTTTAATTTTGTATTCAACTTAAAGTTGTCAAACAGGAAGACAAAAAGGTTACATTTAAATATTGAGTGTAGTCTATTAACTTTAACCTTTACACTATCATATCTCACCTATGTGCAATTGGCTATGTTTATTTTGATATGGATAAAGAATTTTGGTTAATATTGCTTGACAAATAGCGAACTGGTCCGAAACTCATACCGCAAATAATAATGATTACGTCCCCAACTTCTGAGAAGTAAACTTATAGGGACAAGAAATTTTACGTAAAATTTGAAGAGTAACATTCATGATGAAATGTTGCCGCTATTCATTAACTTGAATGATGACAAATGTCTTGTTTATTATTTCATTATGTGTCGGAATACGCGGAATGAGATATCACGAGAGTGATATGATTAGAAGAAGTTGACATATCACTTAATAAGCGTTAATAATTCAATTGACACATCCAAAGTAACACTTTCATTCATCACATTATCACCTAAACTTGAAACATGAATGATGCGATTGGAGAAATCCATTGCGAAAGCGGAGATATCGCACAATTTCATTGTGAAGAGCTGATAATGTTATTGTCAAACCGAAATGGTCAACTTCCCATTGGTCACTTGTTTCGCTACTATCGTCCGGTGGATTCGAGAATTCCTGTAGCAATAATGCTTTGATTGATTTCGCTTTGGTTTGCATCTATCCCTGCAAGTTCACTCATTGATAGAAACACTTCATAATGACTAATTAGCAATTAGCAATGCTACTGATGAACAGTTAATTTGCCTCATAAATCTTATCAGAATGCCACACCTAATCCGTTCATACCTCACATTAATTAACGCTAATCAACCATATCATAGCTAATGGAATGTCATGCTGACAAATTTCCAGAAATGCAACTTTTTTTGTAATTTGACGATACAAACATGCCTAAAGAGACGTGGTTCATTTAAAAATTTTATAACGAATATGAGTTGGAATTTTTCGATTTCAATTTGTGCAATTCTCAGAGAGCATACAATTTGCGGTGTATTGTAGCATCCACTAAAGAAGACTTCAAATGTTGAGATTATCACACCTCTTATCGTTCAACATGCCAAAACAACAATGGAATGTTGCCATACACTATGATATATTTAACCTATTTACCTTTACAGATGGAGAAAATTTTGTCTAAAATGGATTATTATAAATTAATTTAAAACAAACTTCCAATGAATCTCACATAGCAATCAAAGAATCATTTTCACAGTTGTTGAAAGAGCTAAAATGAGATGACTGAATTTGAGAGAAGGAAGAATAATGAAGGGAACACATTGGCCTAATATAGAATGGGAACTGCAAATAGCGGGAATTGAATTTCATCCAAATGCCCCTTCTCAATTTATTCGTCACAATTCAATTTCTTCCAAATAGCTATTTTTCATTTATTTTAGCTTCAGTCATATCCGTCTTTCTGCTACTTTTATTTCCTCTTCTTTGTTTCTCTGTTTCACTCTCACCAAAATTGTTACGAACGACAAACACCAATTTATCACTCATTTACATATTATGGTGACATGGAAGGTGATAAGTGATTACGAATGGAATGAGCGATTATTTCTAGCATTTCTGTTGCTGGCCAGTATTAGAAAAGGTGAAATTGTTTGAAGTTTTCATATTTCAAAGGGGTCAGCAACAGAGAATGATCGCCGAATTATCATTTCCTTCTGATCGTGGAGTGTGATATATTTATTTAGAAGCACAAAAAGACAATGCAAACATTCGTGCAATGATTTTGTTCTTTTTTACTCAAAAATGAAAAATACTTGCGTGAGAAGTGACGGAAGCGTGACTGGAAGAAAGCGCTAACACAAACATTTTGAAGTTATTAACGTTAAAGAGGAATTCATATGATGCAATTGAAAAGAAGTAATATGGATACATCATTTGAAGATGAGATAGACAGATCGTTGATGTCAAGGGTTAAAAATGTTGAGAGTGGAGTGTAATTCAATGACATTTTGTATTTCAGTTCAAGAAATGATATTTGGCACTTCTCTTCTCTGTTTGATAGCTTAAATGATATGATTGATTGATGTCGATTGATAAGTAGTCATTATCAATTAATTGAAGATTCAAAGCAACTGGTAACGAATTCGGGAAATAGAAGACACTTTCATTTGCCATATTCTTTTCAAACATTCTGAACAGGTTCTCTGTGTTTCCGTAAACTGAAATCATATAAAGATATGTGTATCCGGCTATTACATTCAGACCCTTCTATATCCAACTGTCAACATCCTCTTTCTCAAGAATTTTGCAGTAAGTTTTACAAGTAATTCCAATAAATTTGATAAATAAGATTTCACAGAAATTATTTATAATAATTACATTAAATTCCAATTACAGAATTACGAGAGAGGATATATATTAACCTAAATTCTAAGCTAAAGTAATGAATGACATGAAGTTCTCTTTTCTTTTTTGGTAATGAATAATTCTTGCTGTTTTGATCGCTTAAAAACTGATATCGCAATAATTATTGAAGAAGACTATTTTTTAAAGATTGTTAAGGACATTAATGATGAAATGATTGGAGATTTGGTTTGAAAACTTTAACTTTGTTCAGATAAATCGATCTTAGTATTCTTCGTTGGATGACAATATCTTTTCCTGATCAGGCTTTATTACCTTCCTTCCTCTAGATGACTAATGGCCTTCTATTTCAAAAAATGATAAACTCAAAAGAGCCATTCTACAGAATAAAAATGAAGAGAAAAAAGTTTAATTACAGTACCACCGAATTAGTTCTTGCGAAAATCATTGGCGACATCGCTCTTTCCTTTCTGAGTGATATTATTATAATCAAATTGCTACTGAGTGCGCAACTGTTCACACTTTATCGGCTAATAAATATTATCGCACGACAATGTTTCACTCATTACTCATATGGCAAGTGATTGGATTCGATATTAAATATTAAAGGATTTCCAAAAAATTACAATTTTGATAGAGTTGAAGTGCAAAGATGGAGGAAAATCTAACTTTTCATTAGCATTGATTCCTCGAAGCCGTAATGTATCAGAAAGTGGAAACGTGAATTGGGAAGGAATGATAGAGAGAGAAACTTTTCTCGGCCTTGTTCTAACAGTTAATACTGATGACAGAGTGTAGTGAGTCAATACCCGACAGAAACAATTTCAGGATTCTATGTCTCTCATCCATTAGTATAACAATAGCGAATAAGCCAGCGAAAATTGTTCGAAAATTTCTCCGAAAAGGTTGGATTGTATTTTCCTCATATCATTATATCATCATTATATCTAAAGTACTGTGTACAATGCATGAATATATTGTTATTACCGAATGCTCCTCCATTCCGGAATCAATCACAGACAGTGGGAATACATCGATCCCCACTATCCGTGATTACAATTCTTCGTTTCAGATTTGAAGTTTTCCATATT